AAAAGATAACGTATTAAATCGAAAAATAACAGTAACGAGAAATATCAACATAGGAGATAAAATTTGGTATAAAACGTTCAAGGAAAACATGTGGGATAAAGGAGTAGTGATACATAAAGATGGAAATTTATCATACAAAATAGATACTGGACATAATATAATAAGAAGACATTTGCATCAAATAAAAAATCGACAAGTAATGATTATACGACGAGTGAACGAGTTTTTAGAGGGGGAAGAGGTCAGGAGCAAAATCAAAATAAAGAACAAGATCAAGTTCAAAGCCAGATACGAGATCGAAATCAAAAACGTATTCAAGAGCCAAGTCGACAATACAATTTGAGACCGAAGAAATTCATCGATTATAAATAAACTATAAAAAAAAATAATATAAAACAAAATATAATTTTTTTAGTTAAATTTGATGTTAGAATGAAAAGGTACATGGACGTATTGGAATAAATAAAGAACTTAGGGATTAACTCAATATGCGATACGAATGATGGGTACGATGAAGGGGGAAACTAAAAGAGAAGGAAATGTTATATTGTGGAAATAATTTAAATAAAATCACTCGAGGTGATAATGAAATATTTTATGTAAAAGTTAAAATCGATTTAAATGTAAAAGTAAAAATCAAATTAAAGGTAAAAAGTTAAAAATGATTTGAAATAGATGTATAACGATAAAATGTAAATAGATTATATTTGAAAGACATAACTGTAGGATATTGATATACTTATAATTTTTCTTGTATATATTGTTATGTTTTTTTTTGTTATATTACTAGTTAGAAATTTATATGTTATAATAAAAAAGATAAAATTAAAAATTTGTGTTTTAAATGTTTCAGCTTTTAATCGTATTAATTATTGTTTAAAAATGTGTCAACTTTAAATTATAAAATCCCATCCTCATCACGCATCAGAGAAATCGTAAAATTCTTATACACCTAAACTCCCCCCCATCCCTCTGAGTCTGAGTAACTAATGTAAAATGTCACCCCATGCGCATGAGCAGTATTTCTTTAAAAAAAACGATTTGGGGGCCATTTTTATTAAAACAACCCGATTAAGATTTTTGGCATTTCTGTCAGCTGTGCGCAAAATCTTTAGAACTTACATCATGTCATATTTTAGGTTATAATCTTAATTTAAAATCGACCCCCCTTTTTAACCATCAACACTACTCGTGAGTATCATATATTCCAATGACATATATTATACTTAGACTGACGATTCATTCATTAAAAGTGTACATCAATGCAAGCTGGAGACGCCATCTTGGTTACACTAATCATTATTAAAATTTTAAACGAGAGCCTAATTTATTCCTATATCTGATGCAAACTTTATTAAAAAATTACCGGATCATCGAGATAATTAAGGAAGCAAGTTATCAATTTAATAGTAGTTTTTAACATGAGAATAATTACTATATTTGTTACCAAAATGGCGGGTCCAGCTGATTTGATTTTAACGACGCTTAAAAATGCATTTTAATAAATGAATCGTCAGTCTAGGTATTATATATGTCATTGATATATTCTATAAACATTGACATCACCAAGAAATTTTACTAAATAACATATGCTTTTTCACAAATATAAACAATTGCAAATGTATATTTACTATAATCTTCTCCTAGGTGACCCTCAAAAAAATAAATAAATAGTGGGCCTTTCAAATGAAAGCTCCCTTCGACAGGATGATACATCCCTTAAAACGCCTGGACAAACAGTCTCCCGCTGGTCCCGGGTCTACGCATGTGCAGCTAAGTCTAACCTATCATTTCCTGTCATAACGTGCTGGCATCTCAAACAGTGTTCATGTAGCGCGATAATTTATTTATTTTTTTTAGCTTAAATAGAAGAAATTAGTATTATTATAGAAGACACGATTCTCTAACGAAATTAAAATGGACAATTGTTCTATCTTATAATGCCAACCAAAATTTTTTTAAGGCAAATAATGTTTTTTTAAAAAAAAATCGTTTCTTCTTCATAAGATTAGAATATCAATGTGAAGCCCCGATCCTTAATCTTTAAAATAAAATTTGAACCAAGGCTATTATCTATAATAGTTTTTAAGCTAGACGAATCTGTGAAAGGTGGTCTTCTGGCCCCAGTCCAAAGATGGCATGTTTCAACTGGCCATAAGCTATCATTCAAGAATTATATTGTAAATGAAAAAAAAAAAATTTTTCAATAAAATAATTAACATCAACATTCATTTTATCGTCTCAGATTGGTCTATATAACGTTAAATATTTTTATAAATTATTTATCTGACTGCGTATTAAAAACATGCTCATAAAAAATTAACCACTCATGCTATTTATATATATATATAAATTTTATCAAAACATACTTTTTTAAAAAAAATATATATATTTATTTCAATTCCCCTAAATATAGAAGAAGAGAAGAGAAGAGAAGAGAAGAGAAGAGAGAGAAGAGAAGAGAAAGAAGAAAGAGAAGAGAAGAGAAGAGAAGAGAAAGAGAGAAGAGAGAGAGAGAAGAGAAGAGAAGAGAAGAGAGAGAGAGAAGAGAAGAGAAGAGAAGAGAAGAGAAGAGAAGAGAAGAGAAGAGAAGAGAAGAGAAGAGAAGAGAAGAGAAAGAAGAAGAGAAGAGAAGAGAGAGAAGAGAAGAGAAGAGAAGAAGAGAAGAGAAGAGAAGAGAAGAGAAGAGAAGAGAAGAGAAGAAGAAGAAGAGAGAGAAGAGAAGAGAAGAAGGAGAAGAGAAGAGAAGAGAAGAAGAAGAAGAAAGAGAAGAGAAAGAAGAAAGAGAAGAGAGAAGAGAAGAGAAGAAGAAGAGAAGAGAAGAGAAGAAGAAGAGAAGAGAAGAGAAGAGAAGAGAAAAGAGAAGAGAAGAGAACTTTACTATGGATAAATTATTTTTTGAAATAAATAAATAATTCTATCGAAAATCCTTTAAAAACGCATGTATAATTTTTTAAATTTAATAAAATAATCAAATGAATATTTATGACAACATTAAATTTATAACTGCATTGTGGTGCTAGTGTTAAACGAATACATTTAGTAATAGCTTCAGATCGTCGTTCTAGACTTGGGGATAACAGTATGGAATTATTGAGATACAATAAAAGAAAATTATATTATATACATTTGAAATTTTAAGATATTTATTTTAATTATGAAAATGGAGAAACGGTAAAAAGTAGCTAATTAATAGCACGCTTTTTTTTAAAAAAAAGTAGCTTTTAAACGATACTGATCGTTTACCGATACATTTAGGGCGTGTTCGAAAATGAGGCCCCCTTAATTTTATTAAAACTCAAAGGGGAAAAAAAATAGAAAAGACAGATTACAGGCGACCCCAAAGAACGATTCTACAAAATACTGCGGATAAAAATCCTGAAAATCCTTACTTCCCGACCTCATAGGATTTTGCATTCCTAAACTTGTTGTCATTCTTTTCATTCGTCAGCAGATTTCCAAGTCCAATTTTCTGAGCATTCCCTTCCTATCTAGGGTGATGTGATTTTTTATAATTGTTTTTAATATATTTTAATTTGTTTTAATTATTTTGTTTTTTTTATTTAAAAAAAACATTTAATACAAAGTTTATTAAAAAAAATTGCAACTAAGGTAAAACACCCCCCCCCCCCCCTTAAGGGTTATCCCATTTACCTTGGATAAAATATCTTTGGCGCGAGAATGTTTTAAGCTAATCATAATGAATCCAATTCTCATGATAGACATGTAAGGTAAGGGAGGCCCGGGGTAAACTGGGACAAGTTCCATCGTTAAATGAATCTGATTAAAAATATATTCTGAATCCCACTAGAAAAATAAAAAAATTAAAAAAATCATATTTAAAAAATAATATATTAATTATATTGTAATGAAAAATTAATATTGATAGATTAGATAAAATATTTATTTATTTTTTAAATCATTTTAAAAATTGTTTTTAATTTAAACCTTTTGTGTGAACCCAAAACCTTTTAAAAATTACAATAACAAAAAAAAATATTTATCCATTTCTATATTTTTGGTAGCTGTTTATATTTTTTCTCTCTCTAAGCTTTTTTTTTCTAGTGGTAAGCTCTCTCTCCACTTAAATATTCATGCTATCTATCTCTTTTTTATCTCTGATATCCCCCACCAGAGTTTCCTTATCTATTCCATTTGAATCTTCCAACTGAGTATCGGTATCGAGGCCATTGTATCTTGATCTCACACCGAAGTGTCGATATCGACAGATATCCCACCGGAATTCTTATCAATTCAATCTATCATCCTTAAATGGCCCACGAGGTCAGCTGGCCATCTTTAATTTAAGTTTATTGGACAAGTATCCTAGCACCAGGCTGTCCAAGTCTATCGGTTACCACGGGTGACATTTCTCAGCTCAGTTTATCCTAGCATATGTCCTTCCTTACACATCAGTCTCAAAGAAAAACCTGAAAATTTTTATGTTGTTCCTTACCAGGATTGAACCTGGGACTTTCTGTTTCCAAGCATACATCATAAACGCACTAGGCCACCCCAGCGATTGATAGAGTTGTGTAAATGCCAAATTCAGTAAATTTTTGATAAGTATATTATCCACTGATTATTAATCCTTTTTTTGTACAAACCAGAAATTTTTTTGAAAGGGCTTCGATTTCAATATAAATCACTATTTGAAGCGAAAAGATAATTTTAATGTTTTAACTTCTTCTTTTTTTAAAATAATTTTATATTTAAAATTTCTATCATATATAAAACAACTCCCACTTTCTTATACCTCCATAATTTCTAATCTATACATTTTGATTAATTGGAAAAAAACCAGCACTTGTATGTTATACCAATCTCTCCATTCAACCCAGGTCACCAAAGAAATAGTTAGGTTACAAGAAAATAATTTATATTATATCTTTTATAATAATAGAGTTCTTACACAGATTAATATTTTATTCTTAAGTGTAAAAAATTAAAAATACAATTTTATAATTGTGTTCCCAAAAAGGAACCATAATTATGTCAAAAATTTTATATTTGAGATTTTTTAACGCATATATATATATATATATATATATATAGCCGCATCCTTCCTTTCAGGACGCTTACGATAGGTAGAGGTGGAGGCTCCTGCACGGCCCCTATCTCGAAAGGGCACGGGGTCATGGTAAACGGTTATATTTTCCCCGCATAAGAACTTCTCTTGATATGAAGCGTCATTATTCCTCGCCGTTTTCCAGTTCCAATGGATGGCTAGTGCTAGCACTCGGATTCTCTTAGCCTGAATTTTTAGCATACTGATGTCGGAGTCCGGCGACAGAATATCCAACACCTCTGCGATATGCTTGATCTCGTGGCGGTCCCTATCATTTGCTTTGCATCTAGGTTCGAGGAGATCTTGCTGCAGTCCTGCCCAGACCTTCATGAGTCTGTCATAGGCTTCCGCGGACGTCGCGGGAGGCTCGAGTGGTACCGGGTGCGCGATGGGCGGCGCGCTCGGTGTGGCTAACGGTAGAAGAGCTTCAGAAGTTTGCGTGCCCAATACACCAGGGCCCCTTTCTCTAGGGGTAGACATGTGTCTAGGTGATGGTGTACGTTGCCTTTGTCGATCCTCGTTCACTTGCGTAGATAACGCTGCCATTCGGTCGGATATGGCGTTCATGGCCATGATAATAGCTCGGGTGCTGGGATCAACGGGGACGGTATCCATGGAGTTGTCTGGCGTGAGTATGAGATTAGTGCCATCCAAGTTCAAGGGTTGTCCAGGCGGTAGGTTAGCGGGATCCAGCGGTGGTCTAATGCCACCCAAGGTTCCTTGAGTTAATCGTGGTCTAACCATAAAGCGGATTAAAGGTTTAATACGAATAAATTTTCAGTATAGACAATAGAAATAAACAATGATTATAAATTAGCGTAATAAAAGTATTTATACAAATAAATATAAAAGCTCTCGCAGTTATTTCATTTCTATGTTTTTGCCCTTTCAGGCAAAACATGGAAATAACCGGACATCTTGGCCTTTATGGCTTCAATGTCCCAAGGCCTTTATTGTTAATCAAAATTTTCAGTATAGACAATAGAAATAAACAATGATTATAAATTAGCGTAATAAAAGTATTTATACAAATAAATATAAAAGGGGATGAATCGTTCTGGCTAATAGTTTGTTTATTTTGAAATTTTGATTGACATGGGTCAGGCCAAATCTTGGGAAGCGATGGATAGCTGGTCCCAATTATATGAAACGGTTGAAGTATCACTATCCTGTATCGAGAGACCGGAGATAAGCGACGGTGTAGCTTGGTCAGACTGGGGTCCGAATAACGACTCGTCGTCTTGCTGTAATAGTATCTCTCCTTCTAGAATAGGTCCCTCGAAAAGATCTAAGTGTCGTCTTGGCGCCATCCAAGTTCTTGATGGAAGGTCGGCCGGGTTATCCTCGGTAGGGATCCACTGTATGTTCTGGGAGATCGCCGTAAAGTTGGGGAGTCCTAGTTTAATCATAATTTGTGTGATAATGACTTCCAGTGATGGCGATCTTGAGCCACCTTATCTAAAGGTGTAATAGGCCACCGAAGAGTCGGTAAAGATCATGGGATGTTCATTATTTCGGTGTATAGCCATGATTGCGCCCATTCCCACAGCTAGAATCTCTTTACCATTGATGTGGGAGATAGCATGTATCGGGACGTCCCCTTTTATATTTATTTGTATAAATACTTTTATTACGCTAATTAATCATTGTTTATTTCTATTGTCTATACTGAAAATTTATTCGTATTAAACCTTTAATCCGCTTTATGGTTAGACCACGATTAACTCAAGTAACCTTGGGTGGCATTAGACCACCGCTGGATCCCGCTAACCTACCGCCTGGACAACCCTTGAACTTGGATGGCACTAATCTCATACTCACGCCAGACAACTCCATGGATACCGTCCCCGTTGATCCCAGCACCCGAGCTATTATCATGGCCATGAACGCCATATCCGACCGAATGGCAGCGTTATCTACGCAAGTGAACGAGGATCGACAAAGGCAACGTACACCATCACCTAGACACATGTCTACCCCTAGAGAAAGGGGCCCTGGTGTATTGGGCACGCAAACTTCTGAAGCTCTTCTACCGTTAGCCACACCGAGCGCGCCGCCCATCGCGCACCCGGTACCACTCGAGCCTCCCGCGACGTCCGCGGAAGCCTATGACAGACTCATGAAGGTCTGGGCAGGACTGCAGCAAGATCTCCTCGAACCTAGATGCAAAGCAAATGATAGGGACCGCCACGAGATCAAGCATATCGCAGAGGTGTTGGATATTCTGTCGCCGGACTCCGACATCAGAATGCTAAAAATTCAGGCTAAGAGAATCCGAGTGCTAGCACTAGCCATCCATTGGAACTGGAAAACGGCGAGGAATAATGACGCTTCATATCAAGAGAAGTTCTTATGCGGGGAAAATATAACCGTTTACCATGACCCCGTGCCCTTTCGAGATAGGGGCCGTGCAGGCCCCTCCACCTCTACCTATATATATATATATATATAAATTTTATGGAAGTTTGTAAAAAAGATGGATTATGTTTTTATAGCGTGGTGTTTAAAAATATGTTTTAATTTAGAAAAGATAATAATTTTAGATGAAATTTTTATTGTTTTTTTTACTTGTATAAATACCTCTTTCCAATGGAAAAATGTTGTCAAAGCATTGTGGATTTATAAATTTGAGCAAATATTATAATTTTTATATATATATATATCAAGATGAGTCTTTTAGATAATTGATTACATACAAATATTGAGAATAAATTTTTTTTAGTTATAATTCAATAAATTTCTAATTTATAAGATTGCACAAATATATTATAAACTGGTAGATAAAAAATTAATAGCAATAAAAAAATATTTCAAATACAAAAAGTTTGTAAAATACTAAGGAATTTTGCTTATTAAAAATAACAGCGTCAAAAAAATGAAACAAGATTAAAATATCCCCAACCTTTATATATGAAGAAAATATAAACGTAACCCAAGCTAACACTAGACCCAATTAGATTAAAGAATAGATCAATTAGTATATAACATTTATCAGCTAGATATCCTAATTAATAACAAACCTTCCAAACTATTTTATATATATTAAAATATAAATGTGTTAACCAAAGCTAACACTATTTTTAAAAAATTTTCATGCTATAACAAAGACCTAATTGGATTATAAAATAAGATCAAGTCGGAAATATATACCATCCAATATTAACCTTATAATTTTTTTAGTGATGTTATTTTAAGACCTCATTTATGGTAAGCAAAATGATAGGTCACCAACCAGAAAGTTTAGTGCAAAATATTTATAAAGGCTTTACAAAAAAAAATTTCTAAAGCTAAAAATTATGCCTTTTTCATGATTAAAAAAAATTATTACGGACCAGGCTGGGCATGCATTAATGTGTGATCATTTTATGGTAGCTTAAAAAAATTATAGTCCAAGTGAAAACCCCTGATTCAACCATGAGGCCAAATTTGCTAAATGAGGAATTGGTACATCATTCATTTTATAAGTTAAGTACTGTAATTAGTTTTTGTTAAACGGCCAAATTTGATTCGATTTTTAAAGATGGCTACCTCGATGTTTCAGCCAGAAAAATATTTTACCTAAGCCTTGAGACTTTGCAGATGGTGAAATCTTTGTGTCATCTTTGACCACAATCTTTAGGCTTGCTTAGTAATTTTTTTGGCTAAAATATTAAATTAACCACTTTTTAAAAATTAATTGAGCCATTCGACAAAAATAATTGTCATATCATAATTACTATAAATAAAGGCTAAAGAATTAAGCCTTACCTAATTTTCTATATATTTTTTTATTATACCTATGTTTAAACATATTTAAAGTTAGACATATTTCTAATTGATTTCCCTTATAAATATTTTATAAATTAATAATTTTTTTTTAAACATGAGTATTATTAATTTTATTATAAACCAAAAATAATATAACACAATATGTGATGCTTTAGAAGAAAAAACTAATCAAGTGATATATTTTGCAAATCCATTATTCTTACACTCTACAATCACGTGATAATCTTGGGTCTGTGTCAAGGTAAAGAATGCTTTCATCAGGTTTATAGATTTTCTACACATCTCTTTTCAAGATCTTTATAATATATGTAATAAAATTTAAAATTAATAATAAATGCAAGATTAGATATAATTAAAACCTTAAAAATTCCATTGTTTTCCAATGTATTTGATGAGGAAACATATCAAGATACTTGTTTAAATTTATGCGCTTTTGATTTTAAATGGGACATCCAACTAGTATCCCCAACTATAAATTTTTGGCACTTTTGACATTCATACATGTGAGTTGTGCTCACGTTGTTCTGGGTCCATTCTGAATTTGACATCTTATCAATTGGTGATGAACTGGAGCCACTTAGCTTTATATATTTATTTCCGTAATCTATGTTACAAGGGTTTAAATGGGTCTTTACTATTTTAAGAGCTGGTTCATAAATGGCATTATACCAATCCAAATCATTTTGGACCTTCGTGGTGTCTAAATTATATATAAATGGCATATCTATAACATTTCTCCTCTTTAAAAATCTTCCCTTGATCCATTTGTTTTGTCTTTTGGCATATTTCAAAGTGACCAGTTTTAAATTTTCAATACATTTTTGCATGATAGATTCATTAGTGCAATCTGTTTCAATATATTTTACGAATTCCTTAAGGCCAATGTTCTGAAACACTCCTTTGTTGTTAGTAATTATATCATGCTTTAAGGGATGATCATTTAACTTATGATAAAAATCCCTTAATTCATCAATGAGTCCCATATTTATCATTTGATCTACTCTTTTATCTATCCTTCTCTTTAAAATTTCTATGTCACAATCTAACCAAAACATAATTGAGTTTGGGTAAATTAATTTACCACTCACACTATTAAGGTTATGTTTTCCTTTCTGTTTAAGGATCAAATCACTAGGCTTTTGGCCACATTGTTCATATATTTGTAGATTTCTTATGATTTTTCTCCTTTCATTGGGATGAATGCTAGTTGATCTATCAAAGTCAATCTGCTTTAACAAATCATACAATTCAGGTGTAGGCACTGAATGTATATTAACATTATTTAATACATTAAAAGGATCAAATTTTAGGCATTTATCTCCCTTTTTTGAATTATATTTATCTAATAGTATATCAAGCCTGTTTATAAAATCCTTATCAATTATTTTTTCCGATTTTTTAGAGTCAAGCAAATAATCCCATAAAACAGATTCTATATAATAATTAGTGCCACCTACAATAAAAGGAATTTTGCAAGCATCATACATTAAACTATGGATTATTGGCTTAGCATTTTTTTTGTATTCGGAGACAGTATAAATATCTGTTAAAGGATCTAAAACGTCTAACATATGATGCTTTACTAACTCTTTATCTGCTTGTGATATTTTATTAGTAACGATATCTAATCCCTTATACAACTGCATTGAATCCGAATTTATTATTTCACCCTGAAAATGTTGCGCTAATTCTAAAGCAAGCCGCGATTTACCTACTGCCGTAGGGCCAATTATCACTACTATTGGTAGATTCGATTCCATTATTGTTATTTTTTCAACTAACTTTATATAAAGTTTTGATAAATATTTCGAAATAAATGAATTCGGTACGAAAGAGCGAAAAAAAATATGACCAAATGTTCCCATAATTTATAACTCCACTAAAAAGGTCATGAATTCTATTAATAAATATTATTATTTTGATTGTTATATATGGTAAATATTAAGTATTTTTTAATGTTTAATAATAATTTTTTAAATATATAATAAAAATAATTTCTTAAAATTATTCTTAATATCATTTTGTTCTATATATTTTTAATCTAATATATATCTTTTATCACTGGCCTAAACATTCAATAAAGCAAGTGTTGTTTTAGTTTATAAAATATTTCATTCTATTATGTTAAGAAAAATCTAGAATTAAAAAGACAGTATAAAATATATCTCTTCATTCACTTTTTGATAAGTGTCCCTATCAAAATAATAGGCTTTCGATTTTTTATTTTTAGTGTTAAAGCCTTCTATTTATATAAAAAAGCTAACTATTTCTTTATATAATAGTTTAGATTTTAAATTGATAAAAAATTTATAAGGTATTTTGAAAAACAATATAAGCTAACTCGCGGATTGAATATTATTGAAATTATATAATTTTTTTATAATTGTATAATAATTTTAAACAAATAGATTAGATGAAATATAAATTATATTTATAAAAATTTTATAAAAAGTTTATAAACTTGAATATCTAATTGCCTCCACCTAAAACTGGTTTTCAAATTATCAGCGACAGTTGGGATTTTCATGGTATTTATTTTCTCCATATTAAAAATTATCTCTATGTAGGCAGCATTTGTTGGGAATATTTCTAACTTTTCGCTCTTTTGCTTTTTGCTCTTTCGTTCCCATAGCGAAATGAATCGCAGCATGTAAATATGAATGAATGCACATTATTTTTATTAAAATATTTTTTTTATAAAATCAATGTTCAATTCATAACCTAGTGTTGTTAAACTACTCAGCCAATTAAGCCTAGCCGCAAATCAAGTAGAATTTTTGTCATTATATAAAGGCAAACTGAGGCCATTGATACTCAACTCCCTAGACGAGTTCTGAACTTGAGTCTGGACTCACGTTAAATTATTTTCATGTGTAAACTCAATTATATATCATTTAAAATTATAAAACCAATATTATTATTGTATAGAAAACTAGTTTTGTATTTTTTTTTTTTAAAAAACATAGAATTTCTGAGCTTGATAGAAAAATTGTAAAATATGTTCCTTATTATATATGGACATATTATAGGCACGTTTATTACCCAAAATATACTATGTTACCTTTATGATTTTTATAAACATTTAAATTTTTTGAAAGATCATAATTATATTATACATTCCATACAATAAAATAATTAGGGATAAAAATCACATTTGTTTTTCAGGAAAAGCCCAATTTAAAGATTAAATTAAAACTACTAATAAGCAAAGGCTAGATTTAGATAAAATTTTGGGAACAAAAGTAAAAATTTATTTTTATAAAAGGACCTTTTTTAAATAATTCTTTCAACAAGTAAAAATAATTTTTTATTTCATCACAAAAATTAGCATAAATAAAATTAAAATATAAATATATTTTGAAAAATAATTCAATGCGAACATTAATAACTTATTAAGGGTATGTTTATCTTAAATACAAATATGTGTTTACTATTGTTTAATTAATTATTAAAATTTAAATATTTCTCGAAATAATTCATAAAGAAATAGCTGCTTATTGAAAAAATTGATAGAAGAGCTGTTTATTTCAAAAAAACATTAGATTTTTTTGTTGAAATCAATTCCAAGTCATTTCATATATAATAATATTTAATCTTATTATGTAATTTTAAAATGTGATATTCATCTTAATGAATAACAGGATATAATTGTATTTATTTAGATAAATAACAAATGTTGTAATGCAATATTAGTTTTTTTATTGGAAAAAACAATAACAACTATAAGCTCAATTAACCTGTGCCCCTTGGTCCAACGGGAAATCCCTTATTTGGGACGCAACCTGCGCCTCCTCTTTTCCTTCATCAATTAATTCAAACCCCCTAATAGAGTGGTAAATAAAAAAATTAATAAATACTCAAAAATAAATAAATTTATATTACAGCCAATAGTCATATCAACTAACGGCAATTTTTCCCAAGTCTATACATATTTTTTAAAAAAAAACTTTATCGCGGAAAATTTTTAATATAACAAACAAAAAAAGCGAATCCTTATTTCTTAAACAAAGACCTCAACTGGAAATTTTTAAATTATACTTGTTTTTTAGGTACATATTCACAAATTATCTTTTTAGAGCCTCCGATACTTATAATAGATACATTTATTTTTATTTTGTAATTTTATATACTGTTATAAAATTTTAGTGTTTATCATTTTTTTAAAAATAATAACAGATAAATATTATATCCATATACTTTAAGTTTTAGTTTTTTTAAATTAAAATGATAATTACGAAAGACTAGTATGGAGAGCTATATTAACACCCCTCCCCTCCTCTCTCTCCATTTTTAATGAATTGTTGGCATATTAATTATTGTTATTTCGTTCTTTTCCTCATAGAACTTACTTTTTATTTCCCTTAATTTTAATTAAATTTTATTTGGTGCACCTAGTAACATTATATATTTATCTTTTTATATATTATTTTGAGGCTATAAGTTAATTTTTCGTTTTTGTTAAATAATAATATATACTAAATTGATGCTGAGGATGATTGCTGGTGTAACAAGAAAGGATAAATTGCGCAGTACAAGAATACTAAGTAGTTTAAAGGTAGTGCCCATTAAGACTAAGTTAATGGTAAAGAGACTTAGGTGCTATGGGCACACAATGAGAAGGCCTATGAACTACATAGGAAATAAGGTTGAGAGTTTGGAAGTGATGGGCAAACGTAAAAGAGGAAGACCAAAACTTCAATGGGGCCATAAAGTTAGAGCCAATATAAAGAAGTATAGATTAGATAAAAGAGATTGTATGAATAACATAAAGTGAAGAGAGATGTTGAAGGAGCTTACCACCAGAAAAGGTGAAAGCTAAAGAGAAAAAAAATTTTAATATAATTTATTTTTTTATTGAAATTATATTCAAATGTTTTTTTTTATACAATTAACTTTTACCGAAATATATATACTGATAAATTGTGATATATGTTCATTATTTTATTAATCTTTAATTCTTGTCTAACTCGATCCTTAAAATCCCTAAATTTAGGAATTGGACAAACATAATACAAAATATTATATTAAATTTAAAAAATCTATTTAAATAATGATAATAATTAATATACTAGAAGAAATATTGTAGATATTTTATGTAATAAAAATAAGATTGTTTTTGTTTTTCATAAGATTTAATAAAGGAAAATTACATTTTTTTGGAAATTAATATAATAATAATAATATATAAAAGCCTTGTCACAAAAATAGCGTTACGCTCTCATGTCACACTTTTCATGTCCCACTTCTCATATCACACTTTATAATATATATTCAAAAAATCTTTAAATTTTAAAAGTCCCTATGGCCCAATCGGGCAAGAACTTCGCTTACAAATCTAAATGGATTATTGGACTTGGGTTTAGTGTTGTTAAAACGCCGCGAGTCGCGACCCCGACCCAAAGCTCGGGTCGTTTTATTCGACTCCGACTCAAAGTTTGGGTCGTTTTTTTCGACTTCGACCCGAGTTCAAGCCGAAAAAAACGACTTCGACCCAAAATATGGGTCGTTTTTTTTGACTCCGACCCAAGTCAAAATTTGGGTTGTATTTTTCGACTCAAACTTGAAATTTGGGTCGTATTTTTCGACTCAAACTTGAAGTTTGGGTCATATTTTTCGACTCAAACTTGAAGTTTGGGTCGTATTTTTCGACTCCAACTCAAAGTTTGGGTCGTTTTTCTGACTCAGACTCAAACATCGGGTCGTTTTATTCAATCCGACCCAAAATATGGATCTTTTTTTTTTAAAGACGACTTAAAGTTAGGCTTGCTTTTTTTCACCCCTAACCCAATATCTAGATCATTTTTTTCGATCAAAAGTCAAATAACATTTAGTATATATTAATATTATAGGCGGGAAAGTTACTTAAAGCTTCTTTAAATTATAATGCTCTGATTAACTATTCATCATAGTTATATTTTAAAATTTTTAAGTGAAGATGTACCATAGAAGTGCCATTTGTCATGATGGTTATTTTTGAACTTTTTTAAATGAAATAGATAAAAATATATATGTAGACATGTTAAATTAAAAGTGAGGATGTATCATAGATAGGTGACAATTGTCATAATCGCTATTTTTGAACTTTTTCAAATTTTTTTAAAGGAAATAGCTAAAAATATATATTCTAAACATGAATTAAAAATTCAGTGAGGATGTATCATAGATAGGTAACAATTGTCATAATCGCTATTTTTGAACGTTTTCAAATTTTTTTAAAGGAAATATCTAAAAATATATATTCTAAACATGTTAAATTAAAAATTCAGTGAGGATGTATCATAGATAGGTGACAATTGTCATAATCGCTATTTTTGAACTTTTTCAAATTTTTTTAAAGGAAATATCTAAAAATATATATTCTAAACATGTTAGATTAAAAATTCAGTGAGGATGTATCATAGATAGGTGACAATTGTCATAATCGCTATTTTTGAACTTTTTCAAATTTTTTTAAAGGAAATATAAAAATATATATTCTAAACATGTTAAATTAAAAATTCAGTGAGGATGTATCATAGATAGGTGACAATTGTCATAATCGCTATTTTTAAACTTTTTCAAATTTTTTTAAAGGAAATAGCTAAAAATATATATTCTAAACATGTTAAATTTAAAATTCAGTGAGGATGTATCATATATAGGTGACAATTGTCATAATCGCTATTTTTGAACTTTTTCAAATTTTTTTTAAAGGAAATAGCTAAAAATATATATTCTAAACATGTTAAATTAAAAATTCAGTGAGGATGTATCATAGATAGGTGACAATTGTCATAATCGCTATTTTTGAACTTTTTCAAATTTTTTTAAAGGAAATATCTAAAAATATA